AATGCACCCCCAGAGGGAGGGTGGGACCCCAAAACAGCCCTGGGGGACCCAAGGGGTGCCCTGGCCCCACTCCTGGCCCAGCCCCTTCCCAAAGCCACAAAAAAGGAGGGAATGAAAGCCAGGACAGGAGGGAGCAGCAAAGAAAAACCTGGAAAAGGAAAAACCCTCGGAGCCTGATCTGGGTTATCTCTGAGAGCTCCCAGAGCATTTCCAGGGATCACAGAGAATCGATCACAAAATCATAAATAACCATTTGTGAGCCCCAAAATCCCACACGGGGCCAGGAAAGTCAGGAGTGATACCAGAATTAATTAAATAATTAATGCTCAGCCCTCCCATGCTCATTGGCATGGGAAGCGTTTTAAAGTCAGTCATGATATCAGAATGAATTAATAAAATAATTAATGCTCAGTTTTCCCTTCCTCGTGGCAATGGGAAGTGGTTTAAAGTCAGCACTGCTAACAGAATTAATTAATAAAATAATTAATGCTCACCTTTTCCCATCCTCATGAGAGTGGGAAATGTTTTAAAAGCCAGTAGTGATAACAGAATTCATTAATTACATAATTAATGCTCAGCTTTCACATTCTCACGGCAATGGGAAGTATTTTAAAAGCCAGCAGTGATACCAGAATTAACTAATTAATAATTAGTTTTTTGTTTTCCCATGCTCATGGCAGTGGGAAGTGTTTTAAAGCCACTAGTGATACCAGAATTAATAAATAAAATAATTAATGCTCAGTTTTTCCATGCTCATGGGAGTGGGAAGTGTTTTAAAAGCCAGTAGTGATACCAGAATTAATTAAATAAATAATTATTTATTTAATTAATTCATTAGCTTTCAGCTTTCCCATGCTCATGGCAATGGGAAGAGTTTTAGAGTCAGTTGTGATACCAGAATTAATTAAATAATTGATTAATTAATTCGTTTTCAGCTTTCCCTTCCTCATGGCAATGGGAAGTGTNCCTGGCTTAAGGAAGAGCCAAAGAGAGCAGAAGGAAGCCCGAGGTGGTTGAAGGAAGCCTGAGCTCAGCCCGGTCTAACAAAGCCCAAGTGAAGGCCAGGTAAGGAAGACAGAATGGAGGCCAGGTTAACAGAGCCACGATTTAATAAAGCCCAAACTGAGCCTGGTTTAACAAAGCCACGATTTAATGAGGCCCGAACTGAGCCTGGTTTAACAAAGCCACGATTTAATAAAGCCCAAACTGAGCCTGGTTTAACAAAGCCCAAGTTCAGATGGGTTTAATGAAACTCCAACTGAGGACAGTTCAACAAAGCCTGAATTAAGCCTGGTTTAATGAAGCCGATGTTGAGCCCAATTTAATGAGCCTGAGCAGGGCAGGCTTTAAATGATCCTGGTTTAAGGAAGCCCCAGTTAGGCCCAGTTTAACCAGGCCGGGTTTAACCAGGCCCAGTTTAACCAGGCCCAGTTTAACAAGGCCCAGTTTAACCAAGTCCGGTTTAACCAAGCCGGGTTAACTAGGCCGGGTTTAACCAGGCCCGGTTTAGCCAAGCCCGGGTTAACCAGGCCGGGTTTAACCAGGCCCGGGTTAACCAAGCCGGGTTTAACCAGGCCCGATTTAACCAAGTCCGGTTTAACCAAACCCAGACGGGAGCCGAGGCGGCCCCAGGCTCACCCACGTTCATTAATTAGCAGAGAGCAGCAGGATTGGCGCTAATTGGGGCCGATCCCGCCGCTAATTGGGGCAGATCTCGGCCCAGCCCCGCCCAGAGCTCCGAACGGCCCCGCCCTCTGCATTCCCCAATTAACCGAGCGAGCTTAATTAACTTCGGGGCGTGGCTGAGCCTTAATTAGCAGTGATGACACAATGAACCCCTCGGGACGGTGCTGAACCGGGCTGAGCCACAGGCGAGGCTCTGCAGCGGCAGAAGCAGGAAAAAAGGGGCAAAAGCAGGAAAAAAAGGGGCAAAAGCAGGAAAAAATGGGGAATTTGGGGTTTTTTGGTGGGTCTGGCCTGGGCAGGGCGGGCTGAAGGAGCTGAACCCCGATCCCACAGAAGGAATTCCCATGGGAAGGGATGTGAGGGACCCCTGAGCCCGTTCAGGGGACAGGGACGAGCCCCAGCTCACCCTGATCCATTCTGAATTTTCCCTTTTTTCCCCTCTTTTTGTATTTCTCCCTCCTGTATTTTTTGCAGGTGTGTTTGTGGCTCTGTGTTATTGCCCTGCTGCATCAATAATTCATTTTCCTGTGGTTTTTTTTCCATGGCCTTTCCCTGGGCAGAAACACAAAAATCCCAGAGCTCCAAGGCCCAGGATCAGCTCCTGGAGGAGCCAAGGGAGGATTCCAAAGGAGAGAGAATTCCATCACTGCCTCTCCTCCTAATTGTGCTTTTAATAATTATTTCATTTCTAAAATCAATAAAAATGTCCTCACCCCTGTGGGGGCGGAGTTTTGTGGGCACCTTTCCATTACTGCCCCCAAAGGCCTTGAAGTAAAATCCACTTTTATTTGAAGTAAAATCCATTTTTATTTGAAGTCAGACCTGAAATGATCTCGAGTTTCATTCCCAGGTTGGGAAAAGGGAACAACCCCAGAGCTCCAGAGCTTGGGGGGCTCTGTCCCAGCACCAGCCCCAAAAAAATGACCCAGGAAGCCGAGTTGGAAAAGTCTCCACGTTTTAATGGGGTTTGTACAACCAAAAATCCCAAATTAGTGCAGAGGGGAGGCTCCACTCACAGCCAGGGCTCAGCTGAGACAGAATTCCCAATCCTGGGTACAGCAGAATCCCAAATCCCAAATCCACCTCTGGTCCAGCCCCTCGTCCCCCCCAGGCCACAAATCCCAGAGCTCGTGGAGTGGGAATGGGATAAAACCCACAAATGTCCATTAAAGGGTTAAATCCTGCTGGAATTCTGGGATAACAGCGGGAAAAATGAGAATTATGGCCAGGGAGTGCTGTGGGTTTGGGAAAGGGGGGGAGGAGGGACCTGATCCTGCCCCACATTCAAGGGGAATTTTCCTGCCGGGCTCTGAGCGTTGGCACCTTCACCCCTGGGCACCGGGGAAGGACCCAGAGCTGGCGGGGA